GTTTATTCATTTATTATTATTTTCTACAATAGACCAATAAATTGAGTATAATCATCTAATTACAATTAACTTAAACTAAATTAAGTAGAATATACATCAAAAATTTTGTACAACAAATTACATCCTTTTGATCACTAAATAAGTACTCTTTTAATAATATTAAATTTGCTACTTCCAAAATAATTATAATATTAATAGTATGGATAATATATAACAATTCTTGAAGATGAGTTTCAATTAATAAATTGTCTCCATACTTAAATATAGATCTCTAATTTCATCTAAAAAGTATATTCAATCTTATTTAGCAGGATAGTGTTTCTAAATTAAGATTAATTTATGAACTTAAAAAAAAATTTTAATTCCTTAAAATAGATTGGATGATTTGATTGATTATTTGTGAATAGAATAGCAGTTTCCGTATTTATAATCCCATAAATTATCAGATCGTAATCAGCATTAAATATTAGTTATTAAAAGTTTTAGTTTTTTGTCCAATCTAAGCTTATTAGATTAATAATTAGAGACTCAACAAGTTATACAAATTTAATTCCGTAAATTTTAAATACTTACTATTACTTGAAAAAAATGAATAGTTATGTTTATAGAAATAATGGTATCATAAAATCGCTTCTTTCTTGTCACTCTTTAAAACTAATAGATCAATAAAATACATATTAATTATATTAATAAATCTAAGCATCTATAAAATATATTAGTCCTACTCACCCTTTTTTATAATCTTCAATAAGAACTTTTTCCTTTAAATTCAAAAATTAAAAATTGTTTAGTATCTTCAAACTTCTAAATATTTTTTACTCTTAATGATAGGATAAGGTTCAGATATTTTTTCAGGCAGAGTAGAGAGTATAATCTAACCTTTTTGTTTATTTGCAAATAAAACTGAATAGCGCCCTTGGTAAGGTCTAATTCAAGATGATTTAAAATCCTTATAGAATTCTAAGAAAATAGTAGTAATGACTAGAATAATAAATCATTGAATGATATCAGGCTACATTTATTAAGTTGAAAATTAATTTTTATGCTTTCTTATAAGGCCACTCCTAAATTCTAGCCTAACAGGATTTAATAAATTCTTAACTTTATCTATATCAATCATATTATATTAATATAATATGTTGTGTCTAAGTAATTATATAATCTTTGATTTTTGCAAATCATTCTTTGATTCTGGCTATTTAATATTTTTTTGCTTTTTCAAGAAATCATAAAATTATGAAAAAAACAGATTATGAAAACGTTTATGATTAATAATGTGTTGATAATCTCAAATAAGAAATAAAACAGCCAAATTATTTCAAAATAAGAAGAGAATATTGAGCTAAAAATTTATACCTTGCTAACATAATAGAGACAAGAACAAATAATGGCTGGCCTTTTATTAAATTATTTCATTTTTTTATTAAATAGGTTTAAACCAAGCTAGTTCAAAATATGTAGGCAATTAAACTTAAAAATATGCTAATATAATAATGTTTAACTCTTGCTAAAGAATTTTAACAATCTCTCAAGAATAGGTTCTTTATTTGTATTGATATATTGATAATCAATAGTTTATCTAATAAGAGGTTATTTAAATAACATTTATTAATTTTGAATTTATAAAAAAATAGCTGAATAAGTGCGCCATAGAGAAACATCAAAGGCAAACAACATTAAAGAATTCAGAAAAGATGGTTTATTCTATCATATCAATAATAAATTTTTCATATATCCAAATATCAATAACAATTATTCTTTTTTGAGAGTTAAGAATTTATGGTTCCAACCAAGTTTGGCTTCATGTATAATTAAAAAAATAATAGGGCAGTTGAAATAATTAAAAATCTATATTAATCTAGCCTTGCCAATATAGCTAAAACTTTCAAAAGATTGAAAAAAATTATGCTGCAGTTACTAAACTCCAAATAATTGTGAAATATATTATTAAAATATAAAAGTGACTAATAAAAAAAAATGAAATAAACCATAGAATTAACTAAACTTCATATAAATCTTTGATGTAAATCCAGAATGAATGTAAATTCAAAAAGTTGCAATAGTTTATATTATTAATAAAATCATTAAAGACTTTAATTAAGATTGCTGGTGAAATTTATTTATAACAAGAATTAATTTAAAAGATTTAAATCGAATCTCTAAAATTATGTCTTATCCAATACATAATTTAAAATAGAAATAAGGGTTCAAATGCTAATAAGACTAATAATGAAAAATTATCAACTATTTAATGACTATATCTACATCCTTATGGAGACTAATGAATGAAGTCCATCACACCTTGTGTTATTTAAATGGCATTATTCGCATAAGGTGTCAATGGAACCTTAAGAGCAAGATTAATAACAATTTTATCACCTCCCTTGCAATTTTTTAGATCATGATAAAAATGTTCGATTTAATCACTATTGTAATATGCTCTCCAATATCCTTATTTTATTTTAATCCAATTATAAAGTTTTTAATAAATTTCATCTTAAATTCATCTTTAGCATTAATTTAAGATCACAATAAGTTAAACTACAAGATGTTGAATTCATATAATCTTCTATTTAGCGTTTGAAATTGTTTATGTCAAACAATTAAGTATTCTGTGATAAAGGAAGCAATT